TTGAGCCCCACATCGGGCTCTCTACTCAGCAGGGAGCTGCTTCCCTTCTTCTCTCTGCCTGCCTCTCTGCCTGCCTGTGATCTCTGTCTGTCAAATAAATAAATAAAATCTTTAAAAAAAAAATTATGTATGGGGCTTGCATTTTTGGCTCATGTTATATTTTTATGGGACAGCCCTGATCTGGAGGAGCAGCACTAGTGTAATTTTCTTCCCTTATAAATAATTTCACTTTTTGCCTGGATGCCTTTTTTCTCTAATACTTTTTTCCTTTAATACTGAACTTGGATTAGTGTTGGACATTCTGGACCAAAGCTTATGTTTCTTTTCTTTATTTCTTTTTATTTTAGTGAAAAATATGTAACATCAGGGACGCCTGGGTGGCTCAGTCGGTTGAGCCACTGCCTTCGGCTCGGGTCATGATCCTAGGGTCCTGGGATCGAGTCTCTGCATTGGGCTCCTTGCTGAGTGGGGAGCCTGCTTCTCTCTCTGCCTTTGCCTGCCACTCTGCCTACTTGTGCGCTCTCTCTCTTTCTGAGAAATAAATAAATAAAATCTTTTTAAAAAAAAGGAGAAAAGAAAAATATGTAACATCAAATCTATTTTCTTACCATTTTTTAAGCATGCAGTTCAGTAGTGTTAAGATCTCCAGAACTTTTTCTTCTTACAAAACGGAAACTCTATACCCATTAAACACTAATTCTCTTTTCTCCCTCCCACTCAAACCTTATGTTTTAAATATAATTTTGGAGATCTGTGTATGATGTGTTTTCTTTTCTTTTCCACTTTCCTGAGATATACTTGACATATAACATTGTGTAAGTTTAGGGTGTACAATGTGATGATATATGTCTGTCTTATAAAATGATTACCACAAGATGTGTCTTCTTAAATCCCACAAGGAAATCGAATATGAATTTTGGTTAAGAATTTATAGCTAACTTGGGGTGCCTGGGTGGCTCAGTATGTTAAGCATCTGACTCTTGATTTTGCCTCAGGTCATGATCTCAGGGTCATGAGACTGAGCTCTGCATTGGGCTCTATGCTAGGTGTGGAACCTGCTTAAGATTCTCTCTCTCCCTCTCCCTCGGCCCCTTCCTCCCCCTCTAAAAAAAAAAAAAAAAAAAAAGAAATTATAGCTGCCTGATAATGAAAAACTTGCAGTTTATCCATTAGTCATATAGGTCCCTATTAGCAAATAGGCAGAGTATTGTAGTAAAGCTCTTTTCCCCTACCATTTCTGATTTTATTTTATTTTTTTTTAAGATTTTATTTATTTGACTGAGAGAGATCAAGAGTAGGCAGAAAGGAGGGGTGGGTGGTTGGGGAGCAGGCTCCCCGCCGAGCAGAGAACCAGATGCAGGGCTCAATCCCAGGACCCTGAGATCACAACCCGAGCTGAAGGTAGAGGCTCAACCCACTGAACCACCCAGGCGTCCCATCCTGCATTTCTGATTTTAGAGCATAGTTCACACTAAGAAGTAAAAATGTGCACAGGCTGTCCAGAAGGCATTTTTTTCAGGGACTGTTAGTGTGGTAGGGGTTACTGTCTGCTGATACGGTAGCTCTACGTGACCCCGCACTGGTTCGTGCCTTTAGACCGGCTGTGGCAAATAGACAGAAAGCTTTATCCAGGCTGCAGGTGGCGGATTTGCTGTCTCACTGGTCTAACTAGGACAAGTTATTAGAGGGGTCCATTTCCAAAGAAGCAACAAGCCAGCATTTGGTTGCCTTAAGCTTATTTTTTTCTTTTAACTGATGAGGTATTTGTATTTGTATTTTTTATTTATTTATTTGACAGAGTACAAACGGGGAGCCGCAGGCAGAGGGAGAAGGAGAAGCAGACTCCCCACAGAGCAGGGAGCCCAATGTGGGTCTTGATCCCAGGACTCTGGGATTATGGCGTAAGCTGAAGGCAGATGCTTTACTGACTGAGCCACCCAGACACCCCTGTATTGGTATTTTAAGTGCACCAAGGGAGATCATCTATTTTAAAGGAATTTTGCACTGACTCTGCTATTGAAATGAAAAGTCCTTTTTTTATCTCTCAAATATTGACCCTAATTTAATTTTTTTTCTTTTCTTAAAGATTTTATTTACTTATTTGACAGACAGAGATCACAAGTAGGCAGAGAGGCAGGCAGAGAGAGAGGGAGGAAGCAGGCTCCCCGCTGAGCAGAGAGCCCGATGCGGGACTCGATTCCAGGACCCTGGGATCATGACCTGAGCAGAAGGCAGAGGCTTAACCCACTGAGCCACCCAGGCGCCCCTAACCCTAATTTTAAATCTTTTTGTGTTTGTGTTCTTGATTTTTAATGTAAGGCAAAACTATAATTAGCTTTACGCTACTTTCTTGATAATTCCTTCTCTTTTAATATTTTGGCCAAAAAAAAAAAAAAAGGCTTTTCCAGTAGACCCCACGCTATCTTTAACCCTATGCTTCCCAAGCCATTAGTGCTGTCCTCTTGCTAGCATCAATCACTACCACCTATAAGTTGATGATCTGGATTTCACTGTCCCTTCATCCCTCACCTGACTGTTCACAGGCGCTAGAAACTCAGCATGTCCCATACTGAGCTGAACCGTATAGCTCCAGGCACCAAACCTGCTTCTCTCTGTTCTTTGTCCATGACTTGAGTAAGCCATCCATCAACATAAAATCTTTTTATATTTTTTTTTTAATTTAAGTAATTTCTATCCCCAAGGTGGGGCCTGAACTCACGACCTGGAAATCAGCAGTTACACGCTCTACCGATGGAGCCAGCCAGGCTCCCCAAAATCTTTAACCTTTAAAATTTCAGTTAATGTATAATAAATATATAATCTCTAATGTATAGAAAATATATGTTGGTAAGGTTCAACAGTAAAGGACTTAAATTATTTGAGATGGCTGCGTCTACTTAAGGCAACCGGGCACCTTTCCCCTCTATAAATTATGCACTTGGAAAATAGGGCTTGCAAGTGCTGGACATAAATAATTGATAATTAAGCTTTCCTAAATGATGAATTTCACTGTCGGATCACGGCAGATGGCTGCTGGTTGTATTTTTTCAGTTTGGGTGGGTAACTTTCACGAGTTCCTCTGTAATAGATTTTGGGGGCTCTTACTCTCAAAGGATGTTTTCCTACTTGTTGTTTAATTAAAGAATGACCTCACTTTGTGGTGAGTGATTTTATCTAGCTTGCTTTGTGTAATAAGTGTTTCTAGACTAAAGCTCCATGTGAAGAAAACCCCAAAACGAATATTTGGTTCAGTTTTTCTGTTGGAATTTTCTTCTCTCGAGGCTCCTGGGAGGCTCAGTTAAGTGTCTGCCTTCAGCTCAGGTCATGATCCCAAGGTCCTGGGATCGAGCCCCACATCAGGCTTCCTGCTCAGCGGGGAGTCTGCTTCTCTCTTTCCAGTTCCCCCTGCTTGTGTTCCCTCTCTTGTTATCTCTCTCCATCAACAATAAATAAAATCTTAAAAAGAAAAAAAAGAATTTTCTTCTGTCTTCCTTCCTGTGCCTTCCTCACGGGCGGAATCTCATTGTTTTTAGTTTGCTGTAAACCTCAAAAGTTGAAATTGGTTTAGAAAATGTATCTATACCCTCACTGTGTGACGGATGACAGTGAAGCCTCTCACTGTTTTATAAGTTCTTTGTCTCAATCTGGGAATTGGGATGTGTGAGGAGAGCCTTGAGAAGGCATGTCGTCGTGTAAGTCCTTCCCTTCTGATGGCTTACCTTCCTGGGAGTACTTAGATGATAGAAATTCGGGTTAAGAGTCATTCATTTAATCATCTGGGTTGGAAAGTATTCCCAGATGGAATCTGTGGCGTTGCCTAAGCCTCCCATGGTGACTTATCAGTGCCGTCATATCCTGGCACAGTTCCTCGTCTGTCTGGACGAGGCAGATGGGGAGTCTGACCCGTGACTGCTGATCGCCTCTAGTTATTGTAGTGTTAAAAATATCCCTGCCTCCTGGCCAGTCAAGGTGAGGCAAAGAGCGCCCACCATGACTGACATCCCCGAAAGCCTGGCCATTCGCAGTTAGTGAATTTGAGATCGAGGGGTGTGTGTGGACACGTGTGTATGTGTGTACACGCATGTGTGCCTGCGCGTGCATCTTTTCATAGCGCTGGACTATTGTTCTGTTAAACGCCACAATCTGTGTGCTGATTGGTAGGGAAAGCCAAGGACAGCGGTATTATTTACATGTGTAGTTTCCTGTTAACAATCATTTTAAGCAAAAATGAAAAAGGAGGAGCCTTCACTGGAGAGGGTGCTAGAGGTATATATGTGTGGGTAGGCAGGTGCCGAGGGTTCTGTGTCTAGGTAGCAGCTGGCTTAGGGAAATCTAGGCAAAGAAATGTGTGTGTGTGTGTGTGTGTGTGTGCACGTGCGTGCGGGTGTAGGCTGATACCTGTAGTTAAGATTCCTGAATATACAGAGGATAGAAAATAACCACTTCAGGGGCGCCTGGGTGGTTCAGTGGGTTAAGCCACTGCCTTCGGCTCAGGTCATGATCTCAGGGTCCTGGGATCGAGCCCCTCATTGGGCTCTCTGCTCGGCAGGGAGCCTGCTTCCTCCTCTCTCTCTGCCTGCCTCTCTGCCTGCTTGTGATCTCTCTCTGTCAAATAAATAAATAAAATCTTTAAAAAAAAAAAAGAAAGTAACCACTTCAAGTTTAAGGGAAAAAATCAGGAACAAAATACATGTATATGTTCATTAATGTGCATTGTGGGGCCCTCCGGACTTTTGGCTGATGGTGTTAGAGACAGATCATTATAAGGATTCGATTAATGATGTTAAAGGGAAAATTGATCTATTTGTGTGGGTATCTTGGGTTCTCACTGCTATGATTTGGCTTATCTCGTGCCACTGTCTGAGATCCAGAGATAGTTCTCTTGGGGTCAACAGTGGTGTTAATTATCTGTTGGAAGGGTTAACATTTTTGGAGTTGGTTTTTTTATTTGATTTAGTCTGACTGGTTTCCGTTGGGTGTCTCTGTCTCTCCCTGTCTAGGAAGCTATTTTGCCAGCCACTTCATTATGGGAGGAGAGAAGTTTGACTCCACGCACCCCGAAGGTTACCTATTTGGAGAGAACAGTGATCTGAACTTCCTGGGGAACAGGCCGGTAACGGTATGGTTATAACCTCTTTACTTCCATTTGGGGCTTCGCTGGCCTTGTCTTGTGAAAATAGTTTGTAGTCACTGGCTCAGCAGTGTCTGTGGCTTGGTGTGAGTGGAGGGGGGCCCCGGGAGCCAGAACACAGCCCCTTTGCTGGCGGTGGGTCTCTTTTCAGTAGAGACTGACCCACGTGGAAAGGCTACAGGAGTCTGCCTACGGGTGCCTAAGGGTAGCTGAGTCTTCCTAAATGCTCCCTCTGCACCAGCCCCCTCCCAGCTCTGCTAGGGCACCCTCCCCTTGCGTTTCTCCTTCTTCATAGCACTTAACACCATATAGGCTTTTATTTCCATCCCACCCTCTGCTTATTATCTGTCCTCTCTTTTAGAATGTAAATTGCCCAGGCCAGGAACTGGTTTTCCTGTAGCATCCCAGCACTAGAACAAAGCCTCGTATCTACCCACAACCCCTTAAAGATTTGTTGAATGAATGAATGAATGAAAAGTTTTCCCTTGATATCTGAGTTGACATTAGACCATGTCTCTGTTCATTCAATACATTCTGTAAACTCACACGGAGCAGCTTCTCTGCACCCAGCATGAGGCTTTGGGAGAATGGAAGAATAGCTGCCCTGAGGCCATTCGTGAATAGCAGCTGTGTGCCAAGAAAGGTCCTCGAGACTTTTCGGACAGCATTCCTAATCTTCACAAGGAACCCCCTGACAGATTTATCATTATTCCTTTTTCTTTTTACTTTTTTTTGTTTGGTAAAAGTAAGCTCTAATGCCTAACATGGGGGACTTGAACTCACTACCCTGAGGTTAAGAGTCTTGTGCTCGGGTATTAAGGACAGCACTTGCGACGTTGTAAATGGTGGAGTCACAAAATCATACGCCCGCAGCTAACATTACACTGTATGTTAACTAACCGTGATTTATTTTTTACAGCATTTTTTTTTAAATTTTATTTATTTGACAGACAGAGATCACAAGTAGGCAGAGATGCAGGCAGAGAAAGAGGGAAGCAGGCTCCCTGTTGAGGAGAGAGCCCGATGCGGGGCTCGATCCCAGGACCCTGGGACCATGACCTGAGTCGAAAGCAGAGGCTTTAACCCACTGAGCCACCCGGGCTCCCCTGGGATTTATTTTATTATTTTTTTAATTTTTATTTATTTACTTATTTTTTAAAGTTTTTATTTATTTATTTGACAGAGAGAGATCACAAGTAGGCAGAGAGGCGGGCAGAGAGAGAGGAGGAAGCAGGCTCCCTGCCGAGCAGAGAGCCCGATGCGGGGCTCGATCCCAGGACCCTGAGATCATGACCTGAGCCGAAGGCAGAGGCTTAACGCACTGAGCGAGCCACCCAGGTGCCCCAACTAATCAGGATTTATTTATTTATTCAATTATTTATTTAAAGATTTTGTTTATTTATTTGACAAACAGAGATCCCAAGTAGGCAGTGAGGCAGGCAGAGAAAGAAGAAGGGAAGCAGGCTCTCCACTGAGCAGAGAGCCCGATGCGGGGCTCGATCCCAGGACCCTGGGAACATGACCTGAGCCGAAGGCAGAGGCTTAACCCACTGAGCCACCCAGGCGCCCCCTAACCGGGATTTAAAGAAAAACTTGAAAAAAAGAAGAAAAGAAGAGCCGCGGGCTCTACCAAGTGTTCTGGCTAGGCGCCCCCGAAGATTTATTATTAACCTCATTTTATAAGAGGGAGAACTGAGGTTCCAAGAAACGAGTAATGGCTGTACTAGCGTTTGCAAAGTGCATGCTGTGTCCCAGCCACTGTTCTAAGTGTTTACGTGACGTCTTCCCAAAGTTAAAGAACCAGCCTCGCCTGGCGGCACACCGATACCCTTTCCACTGCTTCCATTGCTTCAGCATATCCCGCCTTCCTCCAGAAGCTCCGGGGTATGGGGCAGACGAAACTTAAAAACAGGAAATGTCTGCAGAGCAACAGAGGTCTGAGTGATGGGGTGGTGTGGGGTGTGGGAGCGGGAGCGAGGCCGGCAGCCGTGGTTGTGGGTTGCTGGTGCTGGTGCAGAGCGAGGCTGAGGAGATGCTTGGGTTTTTGCCAGTGGGGTGGGGAAGGGGCTTTCCAGGAGCGAGGCGCAGAGTATGGGCCTAAAAGCTTCCCCATTGTTGTTGGATCAGCAACTCCTGTGCGCCAGGTACTGTGATAGGCGCTGGGGGTACAAAGCTGCAATGAACGTGGTTTGTTCCTCCCTGGAACAAATAAGGAAGTCAGGCTGGCAGGAGTGCACGTTTCCTGATGGCCAGACAGGATTGCAAAGGTAGGTGCGGGCCACTCTGTTACCTGCAGAGGTTTTGACTCTGTCCTGTAGGCTGTAGGGAATATTGAAGATTTTTAGGCAGTAAGTGACCTGGAGGGGGAAAAAAAAATTTTTTTTTTTAAAGATTTTATTCACTTATTTGTCAGAGAGAGAGAGAGGGAGAGAGAGCAAGCACAGGCAGACAGAATGGCAGGCAGAGGCAGAGGGAGAAGCAGGCTCCCCGCTGAGCAAGGAGCCCGATGCGGGACTCGATCCCAGGACGCCGGGACCATGACCCGAGCCGAAGGCAGCTGCCCAACCAACCGAGCCACCCAGGTGTCCCAAAAAATATTTTTATTTTATCTTATTTTTTGGTGATTGGTTTCCATTGTTTTCTTCCTTTGTATCTGGAGCGACCGACACCTTGCTCTCATTCACCGTCCAAGAGTGCTTTCAATATACCCCATCCTTTCTGCTTCACGTTTAGTCCTGCCAACTAATGCTCATCAAATGTCTGCTCTTTGATTTGTTACTCTGCCTTAGCAATTAGAGTAGAAGGATCTTTCTTTTTCCATAGAGCTGGTAAGGATTTTGCTTCCCTCCGCGGGAGTCAACTTGTGCTTGGAAAACGGCCCTTTCTTCTTATGGGGGCTTGCTTGCCATTTGCTTCCGTTACTCCCTTTCTATTTCCTTCCCTCTAGTGTCAAAACAGGTTCTTTTTTGTTTTTTATTTTGAAATTTTAGGGCCATAGAGATTATTTAAACACAAGTAAATGCTTCTCTGGGGTCATTTGGAGGTTTCTGCTGGCTGGCACAACTTCCCATCGCTGGCCTCGTTGACACTTCTCTGTGAACCCGCGAGCTCCTCCCGAAGCCCTGGAAAGCAGCCTTGACCTTACACTTGACACTTTTCCCAGAGGAGCATCAACGCTGGACTTTTTGTTGTTTCTATGCGGTCGTCATTAAATATGTGTGATGCTGTACTGAGCCCATGTTTCCAAAAGACATCACATCAGAGTCACTTCAGATAGGCAGCTCAAACTCTACTACACAGAGCAAACGCAGCACATTCCCTTTTCTTTCCCTGCACATTACTCTGTGACCGTAACAGTGAACGTTTGCTGAACACTTCCAGTTTGCCAGACCTGGTCGTTGTAAGCCCTTCGTCTGTGTTGTCTCATTTTGTCCTCCCACCCGGCTGAGGAAAGTGCGTCTTGGACAGATGAGGAATATGGGTACGAGGAATTTAGACGCAGATCAGTAAGCCTGTGAGTGCTTGAATCGTGATTTAAACCTAGCAGCCCAGCCTCAGAGCCGAAGCCCTCTGTGTTGCTGCTAGTCAGGGCAGGTGGGCTCACGAACTCCGCCCACGTCATGTCACTGAGCCTGTCCTCGTAGGTCATCAGGTGCAAACTGTGAGATGCGGAGAGAGATCTAAAAGTAGACCTAGTGGCAGGGACGTGTTCTCTTGGAGTAGCTCTCGAGAGAGCGGCCGTGTGGTGTGTAATTCCATCCGCTGCTGTGACCTCTGTGTTTTGCTGTTCCTGCACGTCACCCCTGGGCCGGGGGGAGGGGGGAGGGTGGCCCAGAGATTGAGGATCGACTTGTAGCTTGGGTTCCGAGAAATTGACTTCCACTGTCTAGAAACATGCCCCTGGGGTGAATAACTGGGCATCTGGTTGCAGAGGAAAAAGAACAGCCTTTTAGAGGCATCAGGCAGGGGTGCTGGGCGGGCTCAGTGGGTTAAGCCTCTGCCTTCGGCTCAGGTCATGATCTCAGGGTCCTGGGATCAAGCCCCGCATTGGGCTCTCTGCTCAGCAGGGAGCCTGCTCCCCCCCCCGCCCCCACGCCATCCCGCCTGCCTTTCTGCCTACTTGTGATCTCTCTCTCTTTATCAAATACATAAATAAAATCTTTAAAAAAAAAAAGGCATCAAGCAGTCCCTCCTTCCAGAGAGAATGAAGATGGGGAGAGGAAGATGTTGAAATAAATTGTTATATAAGATATAAATACCATAGACTCCCTGGCTTGTGGGACTTGTGGTCTTTCCTGTCATTTCTGACTGATCGGACTAAAAAGTATCTTCTACAAACATATCACTCAGCCTGTAGTTTGTACCAGAGGCCTCCTGATCTACCGCTTACTGTAACCCTTCAAAGTCAAATTTAGTGTCAAGTCCTAAGTGTCAGATTCAAAGAACCAGAGTGTGCATGTACATAGAAGGATGGTTGGGGACACCTGGGCGGCTCAGTCAGTTGAGCGTCTGCCTTCAGCTCAGGTCATGATCCGGGGGTCCTAGGATCGAGTCCTGCATTGGGCTCCCTGCTCAGTGGGGACCCTGCTTCTCTCTCTGCCTGCAACTCCCCTTTCTTGTGCGGGCTCTCTCTCTCTCTCTTTCTCTCTCTCTGACAAATAAATAAAATCTTTGTGGCACCTGAATGGGCTCAGTCATTAGGCGTCTGCCTTCGGCTCAGGTCACAATCCTGGGGTCCTGGGATCGAGTCCTGCATCGGGCTCCCTGCTCAGTGGGGAAGCCTTCCATTCCCCCTGCTTGTGTTCCCTCTCTCGCTGTCTCTCTCTGTCAGATAAATAAATAAAATCTTAATAAAATAAAATAAAATAAAATAAAATCTTAAAAAAAAAAAGGATGGTTGAAGAGAGACTGGGATCAAGATTTCCGGTTTTGTTTACATCTTACCATTAAACCCTTTGAAGCCTTGGCAAATCTATCACTAAGGCTCA